GTGGTCTGGTTGAACTTAGATACTGGGTGTGAGAGGGTGCAGTTCTGAAAATTGGCTGCCTGTCAGATTCTCCTGGAGGAGCTTCTCAAAACCAGATTCCGGGGACCTCCCCTAGACCTATTGAATCACACGTCTGGGCTGGGGCCCAGACAACGGTGTATTTGGAAAGCAGCCCAGGCTATTGGACTGTGGCTTGTTGTGGGGCCAACATTCAGAAGTCACTGCTGGGAGGTATTTGGCTAGTTGGTGTTAGAGTTCCTGTGCCCTTCTCTGCTCCAGGGTTGGCTTGGAGAACTGGACCTGCAGATGGGTGGGGCAGGGTCTGCTGTGACTTTGGAGCTGAAGAGGGATCCTTGGAGCTGAAGAGCAAGGGTTGGCTTCACTCAACTTTGGGAGGGCCGACGATCAAGGGTTGGCTTCACTCAACTTTGGGAGGGCCGACGATAGATCATTTGGACCCTAGGGGTGGGAGCCGGGGTGGATGTGAATAGGAGGGTAGGGTTTAGAAGTGACGGACCAGAGGGAAGGGAAAAGGTGGGGCTGAGGGACTGCCTTTTTCTGGGGGGCGGGACATTTAATTTCAGATATTTTATTTTTAATTTATAGAATGTTGTTAAAGAGTAAAATCTCTGAGTCTGTTAAAAGTAAAAAACAAAGCGTTTTATTGAGGGTAATACAATTCAGGAATTGGAAAAACACAGGGCAGAGAGGAAACTACCAAGTGCTCCAACATTCCGGAGGAGATGTGGGCTTTTTATATGGTAAAATGGGAGGGTAAGCATTCGAGATACCGGCTGACTATAAGTAAAATGGAGAGGGGTATCCAGAGGTCACCAACACCATAATTTCTCTCAACATCAGCAAACTCTTCCCAGAATAACCACATTCTTACCCCCACCCTCATTTGCTAAGAGCTGTTAAAGTTTAGGGAGGTCTACATTCTCAGGAATGCAGAAACAGAGGTTTAGGACAAGCTAAAGTCTGATTCAAAATGGAGTCTAGTTAACAATACGGAGTTTGATTCAAAGCGGGGTTAGCTCTCCTGTTCCAGCCAGGCGCCTCAATTTTGGAGAATTCCTACACAATGCTGCTTAAATAATTTTAGTGATTCTAATTGTCTCTGGAAAATTTCCATCTTTCCATCCATTTTGTATTTTTCTGTCTTTTCTTGAACATATTTTTTAAAAATTTATTTATTTTTTGTTGATTATATATACAGCAGAACATACACCGATTCAACAATTTCTTACATTCTTCAAGTTGTGCAACCCTTCTCGCCCCTCTTTTCTGAATTGTTCCTCCCTTCCCTTCCTGGAGGAAAAACACAGAGCTGCTGGAATGGACAATTCACATTGTATGTGAATGGTCCCCCTGGAGTTGTGCAGCCCCAGATCACCTGATGTTCTGGTCAGATCATGAAAAATGATTCTGTGGAGAAAAGGGGGAGAGTATTGTTGTTGCTAGGTGTCATCAAGCTGGTTCCAACTCACAGCGACCCTGTGTACAACAGAACGAAACACTGCCCAGTCCTGCACCATCCTCACAATCGTTGCTATGTTTGAGCCCATCGTTGCAGCCACTGTGTCAATCCATCCCATTGAGGGTCTTCCTTTTTCTCACTGACCTCTACTTTACCAGGCATGATGTCCTTCTCCAGGGACTGGTCCCTCTTGATAACATGTCCAAAGTACAGGAGACGAAGTCTTGCCATCCTTGCTTCCAAGGAGCACTCTGGCTGTACTTCTGAAAGGACAGTAGTCAAGACCTGGCCTAGCTTTCAGAAGGTGCCTCTGTGTGTGCACAGAACAGTATTGGAGGGGAGGCATGTCTTCTGTTTCTCTTCCCCTCTATCTCTTTTCCCTGGTAATACTGAAAATTGTGAGCCCTGTGCTCCTGGAAAGCAGCTACAGTTAAGAAACTCTTTTGTTTCCCCCCTCAACCCTTTGTGTTCTTAGAAATAGCTAACCTCAAAGGACCACTGCTCTCAAACATTCTGAGATAAGGCTGCACTGCCACCCTTCCTCAGTGACTCAGGTAAGACCCTTCTCCATTCTTTCTCATAATGATCCCCTTGTTTACCTGCCTCTATAAACCCTTCCATGCGGGAGACCCAGGTTCTGTTCCTAGCTAATTCACCTCATGCACAGCCACCACCCGTCTGTCAGTGGAAGCTTGCATGTTGCTATGATGCTGAACAGGTTTCAGTGAAGCTTCCAGACTAAGAACGGGAAGAAAGGCCTGGTGATTTACTTCCGAAAACCAGTCAATGGATCACAATGGTCCAATCTGCAACCAATCATGGGGATGGAGCAGGACTGGGCAGTGTTTTGTTCTGTTGTGCATGGAGCTGCCATGAATCAAGGCCAACTCCACAGCTGCTAATAACAAGCACAACAGCATAAAACCACCAGATCCCTTTGAGACATTCCTCATTAATGACCTTTCTCCCTATTGCAATAGCCACAATAAAATCATCTAATTAAGTGTCCAGTGCATTTCGTTGCATACCCTTCTCCTTTATTCTTCTTTTCTTCATCATAATGAATTTCACAGTGAGGGACCTGCTGATGATAATCTATCAAAAATCCACTTGACGGAGAAATACAATGCAAATAATTTCATTCAAAACAATTAGAATCCCTTCTATGTGCTGGGTGATGGGTTAGAGGTGGGGGAATGGTGGGGTCTGGCACGGGAAATGAGTAAGACCTGCTTCCTGTGGTCCAGGAGCTCCCAGCTGTGCTAGGAAGACAGACACATAATCTGCTAATTGAGCTACATAATTCAAGGTGACACACATTATAATAGACATGATTTGAGTCAGGTTGCGAAGGGCCATGAATACTACACTAAAGAGCTTGGATTTTATCCTATGGTAATTAGGGGCTATGGAGGGTGTTCCAGCCCGGGTATAACACGAACAGATTCACTACAATTCCTAATGTCTTCTCGCCATATGTCTACTTTGTGTGGCATGTATAAAGATCAATAGCTGTGACAGCTTTAATTACGCAAAACTGATCTCCTGTAAGCAGGCTTATGTTCATGTTTCTCTTATTAAATAGGTTTATGTTCAAGAGAGAGAGAAAGAATTAACTTTGGTTAAGTCTATTGGGAGGAGCCCTGGTGGTGCAGTGGTTAAAGCACTCGGCCGCTAACCAAAAGGTTGGCAATTCGAACCCACCGGCCGCTCTGTGGAAGAAAGACACGGCAGTCTGCTTCTGTAAAGATTATAGCCTTGGAAATCCTATGGGGGCAGTTCTACTCTGTCCTACAGGGTTGTTATGGGTCGGAATCGACTTGATGGCAGTGGGTTTGTTTTTTTTGTTTATGTCTGCCGGGGAGACAGAGACACAGATCTGGCAAGTACTCTATAAAAGCGGTGCATGGGGCAAACGGAACCCAGAGGAGGGTCACCTACTCCTGCCTGAGGGAGTCAGGGAAGGCCTCCAGGTGGAAGTGGGCTGGAGAAAAGGAGAGGGAAGAGGCACAGGGTTTTGTATGTTGATGGGCTTGAATCTCCTTGCCGTAGATGATGGTGCGCTGTCAAGGGCTCCATTGGTAACAGTGATGATGATGATACAGTGCTGCAGTCCTTGGGTGGCACAAAGGGTTAAGGGTCAACTACTCGCCGAAAGGTTAGCAGTTTGAACCCGCCCAGAGATGTCCGGGAAGGCAGGCCTGGCAATCTGCTGCTGAAAGTTCACAGCCTTGAAAACCCTACGGAGCACAGTTTTACTCTGCACACATGGGTCGCCATGAGTTGGAATCAACTGAATAGCAACCATCAACGGCAACATGCAAGACCCTGCTTTACCGATATTAACTCACTTAACTCTGACACGAAGGAGACGGTTAGGTGGTTGGGTCACTTCGCTGGCCATGCGGAGGAGGTGGGCAGAAGACCAACGTGGTGTTGTGGCTCCGGAAAAAGAGCAAGGGAGGAAGTGATGAACTTCGAGACATAATTAGAAGTAAAATCATCAAGATGTGATTTTTTGGCTGGATGACAGAATTGGTGAGAAAAAACAAAACAAAACCAACTCGTATTTTTCTGGCTGTGGGGCCTAGCATATTAGTGTGCCCCCAGGTAAGGGATCACTCTTCCATTCCTCCAGATTTGAAGTCCTCCTCATGGACCCATGTGGTTATTTAGAAGTGAGCTGTTTAATTTCCAAACATTTGGGAGATTTTTCAGATTTCTTTCTGTTACTGATTTCTAGTTTAATTCTACTATGACTGGAGAACATCCTGTGTATGCTTTCAATTCTTTTAAATTTGTTGAGGTTTGTTTTATGACCTGGACTGTGGTCTTGGCCCAAACTCTCTTGGCGAATGTTTTATTCGCACTTGAAAAGAATGTGTCTTCTGTTGTCACTGGGTGGAGTGTTGTATATACGTCATCAGGTCAAGTTGGTGGATGATGCCGTTCATATCATCTATCCTTGATGATTTATTTTCCATCTAATTGTGGGTATGTCTACCTTTCTTGTCCGTTCCACACCATCCTGACAGACAACTGCCCACGGTCAGGAGAGTACGATGGCAGAGAGGATAGAACGTTCGAGTGGGACTGGCAGAAACGTTTTACCTCTTTAAATTTACTCTAGAACGCAAACACAATGAAAAAAAAAAAAAAAA